CCGAACAGGCCAGAAGGCGCAAGCGGGGCATCGAGGAGGAAGACCCTGTCCTTCTCCCTCATATCGGACAGGGTCAACCACAGATGCCTCTCCGCTGCCACCATAGCTACCATAGACCGACCAATAGCGCGGGCGGTCTCATTGGTGAGAGAAAGGTCAGTGGTTCTCCTAAGCTCTGTAATATTATTAGAATTAATCTCCTCGCCTTCATCCAGCTCTTTAAGCAGGTCGGCTTGGTACGCCTGTAACATCACCATGGTCTGCAGACACGCACCAGCCTGACCTGCTGCCACATACCCCTTACCCAGCAGCGCTGAAGATATTCGCAGTGGCTTGGAGGGCAATGCCGGAGCCTTCAGGGACGATGCCGCACCGGGGGACAGAATGCTCGCGAGCATCTGTTCAACCCGGGGCATCGCCCTGTAACCGTGCTCATTCAACCCCCGCAACATTGCCATAATAGTCTGACACCTCGACACCTCGGTGTGGAGATCGGGGAAAAAAGGCAGGCTCCGGTGTGGAGGTGGTGGCCTTGTCCACAGAAAGCATTCGTCTGATTTAATTTTCTGCGGTTCGGCTTGTTTCTCGGCCGGCCAGTCGATGTTTAACTTGGCTACAGCATGAGTTACCACCTCCAACAGATCCTCATACTGGGGCGATTGAGGGGTGCGAATCCTCCACGACGCTCTCCACGTCAACCTCCTCGGAGGAAGACAGACGAAGCGTCGAGCCCGCTCCCCGGGGCAAAGAAACTGCAGAACGGGCTTCCGATCTCAGCGAGCGGGCGCTGGATCTGGCAGGTGAGGAAAAAAATAGGGTCTCGCCCTCAAGAGCCGACTCAGCATGCTTCGCTCCCAAGCAGACCACGCACAGACTGTGTGTATCCCCGCTCGTGATGTAGCGTGGGCAGGGAGGAACACAGCCTATAAAATTATCTGCTTTCGCCCAGATGCTTTGTTTTACCCTCAGCCTTTTTTGACATATTTGGAGCTTATATGTTGCTGATTGTGCTTACTTTGACAGACAACAGTAAATAAGACTCACAGAACATAAAATGC